CACAGTCCGGTGGCTCAGCCCAGGCTTCCATTGGTTTTCTGAGCTGAGCTAACACTGCAGCTCATGGTGAGCTTCTCATCCTTTGGAGCTGTAGTAGTTATATTATTCTAAAGGTATATAACTAAAAAGTTTGCCTCCTGATAGTATATTTTACCGATTTGAAACTATTGGTGATATACTTGTTCTTTTAATTTTGGAAGTGTGGGCCTTTAGCCAGTCATTCCCACTTCTCTAATGTCTTTTTAACACAGCTACTGCTGTCAGCAGCAGTGCTTATTTTGATATAATTTTTTAATTTACGCTATTGGGTTTCCAATTTCAGAAATGATTTTAAGTGCCAGTGTGATTTGAGAATAGTTGTGCATGAATGGATCAGGAAGAGCATGAGGAAATATGTATTGCCACGTGGTAATTCAGGATCCACCTCATCAGATCTAGATGTTTAGTTGGCTGAACTAGTCACTCAATGCTTTTTTTATTGTGAGGGAAGGACAGCAACAGTTCTTTTCCTGCAGTGATTGAGATGAATTAATCTTTCTTCAAAGTCAGGTTGGGTGAAGCCTTGAGCAACATGGTCTAGTGAGGAGGTGTCCCTGCCCATGGCAGAGGGCTGAGACTAAATGATCTCTAAGGTCCATTCCAACCCCTAAAATTCTCTGGGAGCCTATTCCACTCTATTTGCTTTAGATGGATGTAGGTTGATTATTCCAGCTTGGACTATTCATTGTTTAGGGATAAATTGAGTATGAGCTGCTTTGTCATCCCTATCTCTTTTCTACATTTCTGCCATTGTGCCCTTGATGAAGGTGTAAAAGGTGCTGAATTATGTGATTTAAGCAAAGCTTTTCTCATAGTTTTTACCACCTCTGAATACAGTTCAGTGGATTCATAGGTCCTAGGAGAGAACAAGTAAAGTTTTGTCTATTCTATGGTTATTTCAAGCACAGTGCTGGTAGATCTTATAAACATTAAAGCATACAGAGAAATTTTTATGTATTTAGCACTTTTTTTGCTGTTTTACTTAGTTTGTTTCACAATTTGGGGAATGTAAAACTGCAAGATGAATCACAAGAAGACTGTTTTGCATTTGAAATGCATCAGTCTGAGTGAATTTTGTTAAATATGGAATAGTAATCAAATAATGTACACGACTTGAAATATGCTGTTTTCTGCATATTAAAAGAATGCCTTGCAGTAAATTTACCGAAAAGCAGATTTTGTGAAATGTTGTGGGAACATTAACATCTTCATGCCAACAAAAACATAGTCTACTAGCATTATGCCTAGTCATTAAGGATTTTTCAGTTAAAAATAACAATAATGGCTATTGAATCATTTGAAATCTTTTTTCTTGTCTTCCCCGTCGAGAAAATCTAATCAATCATCTTTTCTTTTCCATACTGTCAGATAATGAATCAGGATTTGTTGTAATTCCTTTGCATTTAGGACTCAGAATCCCTTTTTGTTTGATTAAATCATGTTTGAAAGTGGCTCAGAAGAAGCTAAGGAATAGCAACTCTAACTTAGAGAGTCATAGAATCATCAAGGTTGGAGGAGACCTCTAAGATCATCAAGTCCAACCATTAACCTGTCACTGCTGGAACCCCTAAACCCTAAACCAGATCCTCCAGTGTCAGATCCAGATGCCTCTTAAGCACTTCCAGGGATGGTGACTCCACCACCTCCCTGGGCAATCTATTCCATCCCCCACCTCTCTCCAACCCTGTCAGGGAGTTGTAGAGAGCTATGAGGTCACCCCTGAGCCTCTTCTCAAGGCTTAACAAACCCAATTCCCTCAGCCCTTCCTCATACAACATGTGTTCTAGGCCTTTTCTGAGCCTCACTGCCCCTGGCTGGACTTGCTCCAGTGCCTCAATGTCCATTTGACAGTGAGGGGCCAAACTTATGTAGAATTAGCTAAAAGTCTTTGTTGGATGAGAGAGGTGTTTTGGAAGTTAATGCCCCTTTGAATGTATAATTGTAACTATATTATTTAGCTGCAAAAGAAACCCCAAACTAAACACTCAAGACCAGAGGAAATATTGGTATATAAAATGTGTATTCAAGAATAACACCTCTCTGGATAATTTTATTCTGTATTTTCTTTCAGGTACGACCTTCTGAGGCTCTTACTAATCACCATTATCCCTGTGCCTGCATTAAAGAACTGTGGGTTCTACTTCTTCAGCTGCTGGACCACAGGAATAAGGGGTCTCATACAGAGGTAATTGAAGAATGTTACACATGCTTAGAGTCACCAGATGTTCCCATACTGGTATGAATGTGCTAGTTCACAGATTTGATGGCAGAACTGACATTCATGCTGGCTTTAGGAGCACTGCATGCTCACTGATAATTTAGGCCATCATTTTGAAGGTGCATCAGGTCCTGACTCCAGGTTTGCAGTGTACTCTTTGGTCCATAGGGCACTGATAAGGAATGCTCCTTGTGCTAAGGAAAGCCAAGCAAAGGAATAGACTGTGAAAGTCATATGGTAAAAGAAAACACAAAAGCCACCTTTAATTATTTTAACAGAAATAATTGGCAATTTACATGATATGCCATGCAGTGATTCATCTCTAGGCATTAGAAACATTGATACAGCCAGAACAATGATCCATCTAGCCTATGTTTCTGTCTTTGATACCTATGTATGCAAGAACAACCTGGCTTTTGGTTTTGACTTTTGTAGTTGCTGACTTCTTTAGATACCTCCTTATGTTTCTTTTGGAAGAGCAAATCAGCAAATCACATACTGTTTGCAGATGACACAAAGTTGGGAGGGAGTGTGGATCTGACTGAGGGTAGGAAACCTCTATAGAGAGACCTGGACTGACTTGATGAGTGGCTGAGGACAACTGCATGAGGGTCAATAAGGCTCAGTGCTGGTCCTGCACTTGGGATACAACAACCCCATGCAGCTTCAGGCTGAGGGAGGAGTGGCTGAAGAGTTTTTTGTCAGAAAGGGCCTTGGGAGTGCTGGTGGACAGTGGCTCAAGAGTAGTGGGTCCAGCAGGACTAGGGCAATGCTCATCCCCCTGGACTCAGCACTGGGGAGGTCACACCTCAGTGCTGTGTTCAGTTTTGGGCTCCTTGCTTTAAAAAGGACATTGAGGCACTGGAGTGAGTCCAGCCAAGGGCAACAAGGCTGAGGAAAGGTCTGGAAAATATGTCCAATGAGGAAGGACTGAGGGGGTTGGGTTAGTTTAGCCTTGAGAAGAGGCAGTTTAGGGGTGACCTCATTGCTCTCTACAACTACCTGCAAGGGGTTGCAGAGAGGTGGGGGATGGTCTCTCCTGCCATGGCTGCAGGGGGAGGACTAGAGGGAATGGCCATAAGCTGAGACAGGGGAGGGTGACATCAGGTCTTAGGAGGAATGTTTTC